CTTATTGGTACAATAAAGCCCTCCCTACACCTACCCTAACCCTACCCGATACTTTATTTTCAACTTTTTGATTATTTCCTTAATTTTTATTGAAAATAAATGCCTTTACGATGTGATACGAGATTTGAAAAGGGAAAAAAAAAAAGTTCGGCAAAAGGCGGGATCGAACACGGGTCGATCGTGTCAAAAAGCCAACAACTCACGCTTATCCAGCTGCGCCACTGAAGCTGATGTTTTACAGCCACGTTTAACTAAATGTAAATATACACTCCGTATTTTTTATTCCATAGTAAGGGCAATTCATACAATACATTTAAACTGAGCTTCTTTAATACCATCTCCGAACTTTCTACCACGACTCTGCTGTTCTTCGGCTGGTTCTTCCTGTATACGTTGATTGACAGAATGTCTCGTCCAGTCAACGGTGAGTAATCCCAAACCAATGGCTGTCTCAAACTTGCATTTGCGTTTGTAATTTGTTATTTTGTTTTCAGAATTGTGATTTGTTTTGCACTTCTCGGCCACCATAGTTAGGTCATAAAAACTGAATGCATATTAAATAGAGCTCTGGCATGAAACTCTAGATGGCGCAGTTCGATAGGTCTAACTCAATCGTGCGCAATCTGTCACACTCACTGGAGTTGCGTCAGTATTTCACGCATGCGCTGATAGCTCTGAAGTAAACTAACCCTGAAACAAATCTTCAGAGAGCAAGTTGTTATGGCTACTTACCTTGCAAGTTACTTACGTTTTTGAAGTCGAAAGTTGCGGTTATCTGCTTACTAACCATTAAACATACCCGGGTATGTCACATAATCTTCTTTCTGGAATACCCCCCTGTAGCACATAAAGTAGAACATGGTCCTAGAAGCACCAAGTTCCTGGGTTTGAATGCAAGAACTGATATACCCGGCACACCTTAGAAATATTCTAGCTATTACCGTAACATCTTACAAATCCTTGCATTATATCCAAAATTCTGTCAACAAACACTACATGGCACAGTCCGAGGTTCCAACTCAATCTCACATAATGACAACATTATTCACATCGTGCAGCTGATTGCTTTCTTTTCATATCAGCAGCCAATGAGCTTGCTGCTGAACATTCAAATACTCGGCTAGTGCTTGCTGTAGCAGTTGCAATATGCTTCAGAAACCATCCAACTTCCCCAGCTCCACCTGTATGGATCTGCTATGTGATTTCAGTTATGTTAGCCTATATATTGGGGTTATTTCACATGTTATATGATCCATATATTTTATATCGAACTATTGGCAGTAGAAAGTCTCGGTACTTGTACAGATCTATTCTGCCAAGACCAAAGACATTAACATTGTCATGTACATTACCATGCCAATCCCTCTGAGAGTTGTCATGACAGAACTATAGAAGAATTAGATAAATGTTTTAGATGAAGTACAGCATGTCACACTGCAAGACACTAAAATGTTATGACCTTTTTTGTGTCCAGTATGCACTTGAGACATGTGATGAGCTAAAGAAAACTATTACAATCACATAGTAACATTTAAGTATTCTCATAAAAGTAATAAACACCAAAATACAAAATAATTCTTAATCCATTTATTTATTTATTTAAAAAGCACTGGAAGGTTTTTTGTTTGTTTGTTTTTGTCGGAGGCAAACAATTAATCAAATCAAATTATTAGTCAAGTGTCATACCATACAATAAGTACTGGAAAAAAATATATATTTTAAAGCACACCAAAAAAAAAAGCCTGTAATAAATAAAAATAAATTGCAGAATAATGCAAAACAAAGCAAATAAAAAAAAAAACGCTTAACATTAGGTCCCGCTCATGAAGGACAGAGGGTTTCAGCATTACGTTTTATCACCTGAGGAGATACATGGAAGCTTTTGTTTATTGACAAAACCCATCGGTTGACTGATATGAGACATGGCTGTAGACTGAGACCTCAGGAGATCTCATTGGACATCCTTTAGTGTGATCACTACAGACAATCCACCAATCAGTTCATAATCATTTTAGTGTGATGGACAAGATCTAGATTGTACGCCAAGCAACAAAGCAGTTCTCAAAATAAAAAGTCATCACGCTACATATTCTCAATCTAGCATCATGCTTAAAAGCAGCCGCGCACACACACACACACACACACACACACACATCTTAGTTCAATTGAGTTTGACCCGCAGAGATCAGATGCCTCAAACACCACAAATGATGCAGCATTTTTCCCGAAGGAACTATAAAATACGCATTTTCTCTGCTATACAATTGCAAAGTTATCCTAAACTATCTAGAAAGCTATGTTTTGCATACTATATAGACATCTACAGTACGTAAACCAATACAAAGCATAAGAAACAAGATGTTCCAGTACATCAAACCAAATACAAAAGATAATAACTGAAATTAAAGACCACAAAACACACAAACAAATAAAAAAAAATCAGACTTGATCCAGTGGTTTGTGATGGCTGTCCAGAGTACTAGCTGCAAATGGGAGGGATATCAAATGCAAAGTTGAATCTGGACTGCTAAAAGAGGGCATTGTGAGGGAAAATCAAAAGACGCGATCACAAAGGTCTCAGTCTGTCGAGAATCACGCACAAAGTCCACCGCAGCCTAACACAGTGTACCATTGATGCCGTCAATGGTCAACAGATCCATCAACCCGCTACAGGAAAACAACTACTAAAAGACGACAAAAAATCTCGGTCAGACACACAAGAATTGTGAGGAACACATCATATAATTAGCTACAGAACAAACAGAGTCTTATATACTATTCAGGTTTGGTTTGTTATTGTGGTTGAGAACTTATAAGTTGTCATCACACTTCAGGTTACTGCCAGCAGTTACTTAAAGCGCTCTGAATATTGCATGATTAGAAAATGGTGCGACGGACCATTAAAAACAGCTGTAGTTTTGAGACCAGACGAACGGCGATCAGATCTTTTGTATCCGTTACACACCAAATTGAAAGCAAAATACAAAAGAAAGTGAGGAGTTCACAAAAATCAAGTCCATTTTCCTCACACTGGTTTAAGCACTCAGACGAAGGTGCACATTTAGACAAATGTATTGATTTATTGTGACAGGTCTCTATCACCTTGCACAGTGTTCGTTTAGTTGAGTACTATGCAGTAGCATCTATACAGTGAAACCCATTACACTAGCAGACGACTAGCATCGTTGACAATACCAGTAAGAAAAAAAGTGCAATATTGCATGTGTATTTCTTTAGTCGAGAAGAACGACGCCTGACGGCATACCTGTAGAAAATATCCGACAGTAAACAATGGTGCAAAACAAGTCGAAAGATTTTAAGGCTTTCTGAGTTTCCTGATGTGGTTTTTTTTTTGTTCTCTAAGATAGTTTGTAAGAGGTCCGCAGGAGGGACCGTTTTGGAGAGAGATCGTTTCCCGGGCTCTCCTGCGTGAATATACACACACACACATACAAACGACGCGCAAACATTCGCACACAAGCAGCACTATTCTATTCAAGCGTGTACTGTCACCCCTAATATAAGGTGTATTACTTCTAGTAGTTCATATAATAACATCTTTACCATTGAAGCTGCAAGCATAGATATTTATCTACACGTATCCACATTTCTATTAAACACATTGCTATATGTACCAACATGTCGACACTGCATGGACAAACAAAAGAGTTCCTCCAAGTGGAAAATAATAATAATAATAAATGCATGGTCTAATAACGTTAATTAAAAAACAAACTACTATTTCAGTTGCCATGCTGATATTACTAATAGAAAACAAAAGTAAATTAAGTTGACAATAACTTATTACAATTTCAGTAGGGAAAGCTATGTGGAAATGCGGCATTACAGGCAGTGTTTCTACCCAAAAGAAATGCACTGGCCGTTTCGGTTCAATCGTTGTTTGGTTTCAAAGGGTGTCAAGAATCAAATTCATGAGTAACACACAAATACTTTACGATAATCTGCAACTGAATCTGGTTATTGTGTCATACAGCATGTGTGGACAAGCAAAACCAGAGAGGGTTAGCCATTCTGGCTATACAAAAAGACATGACAAAGAAGGAACTACTGTACTGTAAAAAGACTAAGAACAAGTAAACTTTCCCTTAAACTGTGACGCATCCTTTAGGGGTTTCTAAAACATGGCTGACAAGTGATACCCCAAGATGACCGATGGAAAATATTGTGCTACTGCTGGTGGCAATTTTATCTGCATGCATCCGAAAAAGTGTTTTACGGTATTTCAGACGAATCTATTCCACCCAAAGCAAGCAATTTAAGAGCAATGTTGCGTTCGGCATCACTTGTCGGTCATGTGATCATTTAATCACGCGACTTGGGAATGTGCTTGAGCATTTGTGTCTCCTTCGCCCATTTTGGTCATTACTGGTTTGGGGAAGGGGTTTGGAGGAAGACATGGTGAAGTTCTGCATTTTTGGCCTGTGGAAGTGAGGACTGAGCTTAAAAGGATCCCAGCATGCACGGCGATCGAGTCAAGCTGCAGTGTCTGACAGAGGCGGTGGTCACAGTGCAGAAGGCAGGGGTCCCGGTGAGGGGGCGTCTACACGGCAGTGCTGGCGTACTCTGAGGAGGAGGTGGAGGCGGTGGTGGACTGGGTCAAAGCGGATCCCTGAGCCGAACCTTTGCGGTTGATCATGGAGGGGTGGAAGTTGGGGTGCCGGCGGGCGTGCTTGATGAGGTGGTCGCTGCGCATGAAGCGCTTGTCGCAGAGTGGGCACAGAAAGCGTTTCTCGCCGGTGTGGGTACGCAGGTGTCGGGCCAACTCATCGGAACGGGCGAACTTCTTTTCGCAGTCGGGCCAGGTGCACGGAAAGGGCCTCTCACCTAGACAGAAAACATGAGTGATCCACAACTCATTAGTAGTGATGGGAGAAATGAACCTTTTTGAAGCTTTGAATCAATTGAACCAACTGTTTCGCAAAATGATTCACTGTTTCGAAGCGCTCAAAACACCACACGCTGATGATGCCTGCTGGTCAAAACTGTGTAAATTAGGGATGTAACGATATTATCAATACCATGATATCGCAATAGCAAAAGTGTCTCGATATTATCGTGGTCACATGACGATATGAAACGATAGGTCTTCCGGGCAAAAACTGTAGTTTTTAAAATATATTTAAACTTCTTATTCTAACACAAAAGGTCTTTAAAGTTGTGTTTTGGACCATTATGCTTTGGCACAGTATCTGTCAAAGCAACTTAAACTGAAAGCACAATATGGCTTAATCCCTTCATCAAGTCTGTTTTCGCTGCGCGTTGCAAAGCGAAGCGCGCACTTCGTTCAGGCGATCAGCTCGTGATCCGGTGTTATCCGCGCCTCAGAACAGCTCCGTTCACAGTGAATGCAGTCAACTCGTTTATTGCATGTGTTGGGAGTTTAGCACACGTTTGGAAATGCAACAGCCACCAGTTATGCTTTATTTTCGCGGCAGATGATTAGAGCATTTCAGATTTGTAGTGAGACGTGTTTTTGTCAGCCTGTTTTCACTGAAGCTGGAGTTTTCCTTTAAAATAAATGCTATACGACCGTTTCCGTCAAAATAAAGGCTCTAAGAAATTAGGAAAGAAATATTGGAATTTCCTTACTGTTGTGTAAAGCAGAAATAATATACCTATGAAATATCAATTTTCATTTATTTTACAGTGCAATTGTTTTACAATATATGGCTATTACTGTCATTGTTGTTATTATTATTATATTCTAATTTGTTTGGCTTCCTAAAACACCAGTGTGAATGGAATTTAGGCTGAGACCGTATATCACAAATAAAAAGAGGTTTTCTTAGTTATTTTGTAAAACTGTCAAAGTGCATTACATAGAATAATTTAACTTTAAAATGTACAAAACATTAATTTTTTTTCCAATGTTTAATTTGTCGTTTTTTGTTTAACTTGGCAATAAATATTGTATCGTGGACTTAATACCGCGATATATTACGTATCGTGAGATTTTGATATTGTTACATTCCTAGAAAACTCAGGCCAAATGTGCATAAAAACAACTTTAATAGTTTCACAGAGATCGCCCCCAGTGGTGATCCATTGAAATTTCTAAACATTTTGAAACAGTTATGAGGTAACAAAGCCTTGTTTACTAAACTCATGTGACTTTGGCAGTTTGATACCACTGGTTTGAAAAAAATGATTCGCAAAGTATTCAAAACTTTTGAAGAATTGTTTCAAAAGCGCCCATCACTACTCATAAGATGACTAATGCTCTATGAAATACACAAGTTCCGTTTGACAGGGCACCTACGAAGTGGTTCATTGCTCCCTGTGCATTAGATATATTTGAAGGTCACTTTACTTGACAAAATATGTTATTTAGAACACCTTTCAATGTCATCATACACAGGCGGAAATTGAGTCACACATATTAGAAGTGTTTGAGGTATGGCGACATCAAATACTTCTAATAAATACAAATTACATAAATGTCAATGTACTATTAATTTAATTAAAATAAAGGGCCATATTTTAAAGTGCTAAACTGAGCGATATTGGTCTGTTGCAATGTTTAATATGATGTTTTTGTCTTTTGTCTGTAATCACAAAAGTTACATTAAATGTTGCCTCTCGTGCACTTTATACACAAACAACCATGTACAAACCACATGTGGGACTAATTAAACTCAATAATAATGCTGGTGCCTCAACTCGCCTTTTTCTTACTCAGACTTCTTTTAGTGCTAAAGGGATGTGCAATGACTGGTGGGTAAATTTCCCTCTCCATTTCCTGTGAAATGATGAATCAGTGTGCCCTCCTTCCCTTCCCTCTAGAGCCACATGCTGCTCTTTCATCCCTCTGCGGTGGCTTCCTGTAGCATGTGCGTAGAATACGCAGGGACATGTCCCCCCCAGACATTTAATAAAACCTAAACTCTTCCCCTGCACTTTTTTCAGGCAAGTGTGTTCACATAGAGGTTTTCAAGGGCCAGTGTGAATAAATCCAGATTTAAATGAAAAGACACAAGACAGTCACATCGTTTTGGATACTTTTTATTCATATCCAAAATTATGTAAACATTACGGAGTGCTAAACACTCTCATGCAGTGTGTGTTTCATTCATACTCGAAGCCGGAAGGTGCTCTGGCGCATAAAGTCTAAAATGGACTCATAGAAGTAATAATAACATTTGATGTGCCAGGAAATCCTTAATATGGAAAAAGGCATCCCGCTATCGCTTTAGCTAAGCCGAATGACAAGCATAACCCTTAACTGATGAAACGTGAAGACAATAAACGATTGCGAAAATATATGGTTTATGTGTTTTTCAAGTCTTCTCCAGGTGCTAACTGACATAGCATTTATTACTACAGATGCACCGATTGGCCGGCCAGGGACCAGAATTAGCCGATTTTCTGCATGACCGGCCGGTCAGTCTGCCGATTCTGAGCTGGTCTGTTTTGCGTACTTTCCATACTTTTCCAAACCGCGTAGGAACCCTGCTACTGGTTTGGTTTCATATTTAAAGCTATCATTGCATTTTTCCCAACATTTCTTATTTGTATGTTTAAAAAAATATTTAAAACATTAATCTTATAAAATGCTTTATGCATTCAAAATGTTGCAGTGCATATGCATTTATAGCACCTGAAGTAGGCTACTGTGGGACACAGACAGCACCTTCTCTTCACATTGGAATCTCACTTAAGTTGGCAGGTTACCCTATGAAGTCCACTTCGCAGGGTGCACCTCTAGTGTTTCATTAATGTACTAGCCTTTAATTTGTCTTGTACTAGATGATGTATTCTGTACGAAGTACTGCACTAGTGTTTAGCAGTTTAGTTGCCACTCTATTTCATTAGATACTGTACTAAAGATTTCTTAGGTGTTAGTGTACAGTAGTACAAGTAACCCACTGTACTAGTTTTACTTGCCTTAAGCTTCTGCAGTCGTGTCCGTTAAAAGCTATCACCGTTTTCGCCACATTAGACATCAATTCACGAACAAAACCAATTGCTAATAGACCATTTGTTAATACCTCATGAAGACAGGCCAGGTGTGTGGCTTAAATAGCTCTTTTAGCTTCAGTCAAATAATAGAAAGTGCATTTAAATGGAAACCTGCGCGTAAACGAGCGTTCTGTGCTCGAGCTCTGTTCATATGCAAATATGAGGCTCGTCACTACACTACTATACTCGGTCCTCCCCCACGCGCTCCTTCCTTTGTTCATAAACTTTCTTTGTTAGGAGGCCACAGTTGGGAGTTTTTTTCCACTCTTTTGTTCAACTAACGAGTAGTGATTTACATTATTATCCACAAATTCACTTTTAATATCTCTATTCAGAGCCGCTGGTTAGAGTTGACAGGAGCCCCTGACAACAGTCAACAAACAAACGGCGGATAATTAAAAGTTACTGTAACCGAGAACTATAATAAAACACAGCCGATGGTTAAAACCCTCCATAATATGCTTATCCCACAGTGAAATTTAAAACCAATACAGGCAACATGAGCAGTTTATAAAACTATAATTTCATACTGTCCGTGTTTATACAGGCAGAGTACTCATACTCGCATAAATGTGACCATGGACCACAAAACCAGTCATAAGGTTCTTTTTTTTTTTTTTTAAATCGAGATTTATGCATAATCCGAAAGCTGAATAAATAAGCATTCCATTGATGTATGGTTTGTTAGGATAGCCGAGATACAAATATTTGAAAATCTGGAATCTGTGGGTGAAAAAAATCTAAATATAGAGAAAATCGCCTTTATAGTTCTTAGCAAGGCATATTACTAATCAAAAATTAAGTTTTGATATATTTACGGTAGGAAATGTACAAAATATTTTCATGGAACATGTTGTTTACTTAATATCCTAATGATTTTTGGCATTAAAAAATCGATCATTTTGACCCATACGATGTATTGTTGGCTATTGCTACAAATATACCCATGCTACTTGTGACTGGGTTTGTGCTCCAGGGTCACAAATACATACATAAACGAATACAAATGATATCCGCAGCATTAGCCACTATCCCCTCCCATGTGCTCCAGCTCACCTGTGTGGGTCCTGATGTGCGCCTTCAGGTGGGATGATTTGCCGTACACCCGGTCACACCCGTCGAAGGTACAGAGGTGACGCTTGGTGGGGGAGCGGGGTGCGCCCCCTCCTCCCCAAATCTGCTGAGGGGTGTTATTATACTGTCCCGGGACAGGGGTGGCAGAGGGGGTCATGGTCGGCGTTGGGGTGGTGGAGTCAGACAACGTGGTGTAGCCGCTCTCTCCGCACGACGAGTTGCTGCTTTCGGAGTAGGCCGACATGGGACGAAACTTGCCGTGCAGGTCGGTGAGGATCTCCGCCACCGTCATCACGTTGGCCCCCTCTAAACGAAGCGTCTCCCGCACCTCCCTGTCCTCGCTCGACCCGTCTGGCTCGCCGGCAGGAAGGCCCTGAGGAGGGGCCTGAGCCGCACCAGACACCGGGGTGGGTCGATGGAGGACGGGACCGCTGGATATCGACACCAGACACTCGGCGGCCAGATAATCCGAATAGGCGAACGACATTTTATGCGCGACTGCGTTTAACGACTAAGCAAAAGTTACGACGGAGAGCCGTTTCCTGAGTGCGTTCGATTCTTCTCCAAAGACTTTCAACTCGTTGCTTTTTCTCACCAGCAGCGGCCTCTGCTATCTATCTATAGTAAATACAAACAAAACAAATGAAATAAACGATAAAAATATCCAAAAAGAAGTAAAAAATAATACGCTACCGGCGTGACTGCGTTTCAAACCCCAACGTGGTGTCCTACATTGCCCCTCGTTTCATTGTGTCTGCTGCTAGAACCGGCAAAGCCCACGCCACGCCCCCGGTAGTGAGTTTAGTAATCCTACTACGAAGAAGGCTTGGCTCATGAATATTAATTACGTAACGCGCCGTTCTTCCGCTAGTCTCCACGGATTGGCTGAAAGGCAGACGTGAGTAAGTAGGCGGTGCTCAGTAGGCGAATAAGCGAATCACGGCGAGCTCATGAATATTAATTGTAATGCGTGACAGGACGCTCCAGGAAGGTTACCGCGCAACTTGAGCATTCACCCACTAACATTTGCCGTAGTAGGATTCGTAGTCGCCAGCATGCAAAGAGAAACACGCACCAAGTGACGTGGTGAACTGACGCGCGATACGGGCGTGGACCAGAGAGTGACCATTTAATAATACTAAGCCAAATGACTCTGTGGAAAAAGAGTACAGTTTGCTTCGAATAATGACCTTTGTGGAGTGAAAGATATGACTGGAATAATAACATAACTACTTAAAGGGGTCATATGATGCTGCTAAAAAGAACATTATTTTGTGTTTTTGGTGTAATGAAATCGGTCATCGGTCTGAAAAGCGAGGTGTGCTCTGATTGGCCAGCTATCCAGTGCATTGTGATTGGCCGAATACCTCA